AATCTACTCTGGATACACCCACTGACCTGCCTACTAACTATCTGAAGTCTAATACTAACTCTCTGTGCTGGCGCAGCTATGGCTGCCTTCTCCCTGCCAGCTCTAATTCTTCCCCTCTCTCTCTATCTCTCTTAGCGCAGTACTCTGGCTTCAGCGCTCTGCCCTTCACTACAGCGCACAAGTGCACCAGCACTTCCACACTGCTTGCGAATGAGCAATCTCCCCGAATGTGAGGCTGGCCAGTCCTTTTGTAGTCTTGGTTTGGACTTCAACTCGTGCCAGCCTCTATTTCTTGGGTCGTGTCTGGTTCCCTGTACCACATCCCCACGGCCTGTCTGCTACTGAATGTCAAGGCCTGGAACCTTCCCGAATTTCCATTGGACTGCTGCTGCTTGGGCCCTGGAGTCATGACTTTTCACTTGTGAACATGACTTCTGACTGTGGACAGTGTCTCTTGCCTGTGGATCACGGCTTTTGCCTGTGATACTACCTTTTACTCGTGGGATCTCTTCAATATGACTTTTCATTAAGAACGTGATTCCTGTCTTGAGACATGACTCTTGCTTGGTGAATCTGCCTTTTCACTCGTGGAATGYGACTCTTCTGAATGGCTTTTATTATGAGACGTGACTCTTGTCCCTGAGATGTGACTGTTTGCTGGGTGCCTGTTGGACCAGACTGCTGAGGTACCCGATTGTGACTTTCCCGAGTTCAACGAACTCGGCCTTTTCTTGGCCTGGGCATCTGACCCTGAGATCCGAATTTGGGGTCTGAATCGTGGAAAGCCTTTCACGAGTGCTGTAGCCAAAGAATAAAACTTCGCGTCCCAGACAGAAAGAGAATGATCTAACGTCAAACAGATTTGGGCCTAAGGGCCCCTTTTTGTGTGGGCCTGGTCCAACGGGGTACCCAGAATGTCCCCAGTAGGCTGTGACCAAGTCCCAACCAGGAAGAGTCCCACATGGACCTACTTTCTGCCTCTACCGAACTGGAAAACGAATTTCAACTTCAGAAAGAACCTACAGTCTACATCTGTTCAGAGACAAAAAGACAATGCACTGTAGATGTCCAAAGCAAGACACCTCGTCTCTTCATCCATCAGGTGAGAGAACAGTTTGCATACTCGTAGTCACAATCAAGACCACAGAGGAGCAGGAAAAAAAAAAACGGAGTAACCCCAACAGGCAATCAATACCATGAACAGTGCACACACATACATGGGTATCCCGTAGGTGCATGGCACTTACCTGAGTGGACTGAGCTTTGAGATGAGTAGAACTAACCCCCCTCTCATATGGTCCTCCTGACCCCTTTAATGTAACCCCTACACTAGTGTCATATCTACTAGGAGGATCTGACTCCAACACCAAAGTGAACGCCGGATCCCTCGCTGATGCTGAAGATCAAAGTAGCAACTTGCAGTCCGTAGATGCAGAATGGCTACCTCCCCCAAGCTCGTGTACTTGAGGGAGGCCCTAAAGTTGCCAAGTGTCTCCCTTGAATCAGATTCCAGGTGCGAGTGCCTCTCACTGTCGCCTCTCCCAAATTGTAGCACGAAGTCTTCTCGAAGTGTCTCACCACTCCAACTTACTCTCACACAACCGAGTTAGGTCAAGTGTCGACCCAACACGACCGAACCAGTGGGGTCAGCTTTCCTTAACCATCCTCCCCCACTTCCCTCAACTTCCAGCCCTAACCTAAGTGGTAGCCCTCCACTGAGGTTAGGGGTGGAGCAGCAAAGTCAACTCTCGCCACCAAGTAGAATCCGCTCTGATACTAATGTAATGATCCTGGCTAATTTTGAAGTACACATTCATGAGAAAGTACAATGCCGTCAAATTGCAAAAAGAAATGAATGAACTCGAGAGGAGAGAGAGGGAAAGAACAAAAAGAACAAGAAAGAAGAAAGAAAGAAAAAGGTGATGCATACCAGCATAGACCAATGATAATTCCCTTCTTCTTCGCCAACCACTCTCCTCCTCCTCGTCTCCTCCCCTCTTATTCAAATAAGAAATAATAATAATAAATTTGAATGGCTGAACCAGAATCAATGTCTGAATCCCTCTTCTACTGCAGGTATCACATGAGGTCCACCATAGCCATGGCCATCCTTCTTCCTCCTTCCTCCAAGGCGGAGGATATGGCGGACTAACAGGGCACTTCCCTGCTGTGCAAAGGACAACACAAAGCTTCTTGGTGTAGCTGGACCCCAACTGGGGCCTTCCAGATACAACGCCTACCAAGGTGATGAAGAGGGAATCCACCATAACGAGGTAAGTACCTCTGCCGCTCCTCCTTCCTAGTCCTGGTCTTCTTCCTCTTTCTGTCCTTGCTCCTCCCCAACAGCGCTGCTCTGATGCTAGCGCTGCTCCAGCCAGCGCTCCAACCAGTGTGTCGCCAAACTTGCACGCCGACAATGTGGAGGAGCACTTTGCTCCTCCTGGAGATATAGCGGCCTGCTTGGCTCCTGGTGAGTGATTTCCGAGGCCGCACTGCCTCCCAGCGACCGGTACGTCCTCCCTTTCGGAGGGAAACGTTGTTGCAGACTCTGATATTGACCGTACAGGTCCTAGAGTCAGACTGGTTGGACTGGTACTCGCATAGACCTAGCCAACAACTACTGGGCCTCTAAAAATGCCAACTTTTGTCTTCTTCTGCTTGGCCTTGAAGCAGGAAGGGCCTGGACGTCCAGTAGGGACCCAGGCAGGCCGTTTTTGGCCAGAACCAGAGGAGCAGGACTTTCTCCTGTGACCTGGACCGTCAATCGGACTCACGATCGCATGGCCCTGGTTGCCGGCAAGGGACACACCAGCCAGGCCGAACACTATAGATAGCTGGGCCAGTCCAGTGTTTGGGTTGACGGGAGTTCCCATTCCTTTTGGGTGACATTCTGCTGGAGCAGCTCGCGACATTACAGTGCTGCGCTCTAGGTAGAGTAGACGTGTTGGAGCTAGGAGAGGTGAGGGAGAGGCGGTGGCCATATCTGCGAGGAGCAAGGAGCTTACGTGGGTGCCATAGCTGGCTCCTTCGCCAGCGACCTGGAGCACAGAGAGGCACACCAGCACGGTAGTCTGCGGCATCAGCTACCTGTAGGTGAGGCAGGGGAGAGGTCGACATGTTCTTCTTCCTCCTGCTCTCTCTCTCCATATCTTCCTCCCTTCTTCTTCTTCTTCTTCTTCTTCTTCTTTCACAAAAAGAGAGAGAGAGAGAGAGAGAGAGAGAGAGAGAGAGAGAGAGAGAGAGAGATTACAGCCGGAGATTATTTCGGGCTATGGGGTGCAGGATCTGATTTTGACATCACAGGGGCAGACATTGATTGGACATTTGACAGGGATACTATTTTTTGGACTATGCTATCGCTGTCTTGGCCTTCTGCCTCATTGCTCCTCCCCTCCCCCCTCTCCTCATCCGTGGGATCTCGCCATGTGTGTATTCAAGGATGGACCTTTCTTCCATGTATGCTGTCCCTCCCTTCTCTCTCACATGTGTGGTGTGTGATGGGTCGAGTTGCTTCAGTGACTGACAGGACAGGTCATATCTTCGAGTCTTCCACTGCCGCTACATTGTGTTATTTTGCATGTATATGGATGAATATTGCTTGTTGATACTTTGCTGGTACTGCATTGTCCATTCGAGTCCTTATCATCGCTCTGCTGCAGGGTTGTCACCCGGGGGGGTTCCCCGGGGCCCGAGCCGGGGTACGGGTTTCACCCCCGGACCCCCGCCCTCACCCCCGACCCCTCACCCCCGACCCCTCACCCTGCCATTTCACCCCTGCCCCCTCCCCTGCCCCAACCCTGGCACCCGCACCCCCGCCCTCCATACCCACACCCTGTCTCTTATACACATCTAGATGTGTATAAGAGACAGGGATATTATTGGGATATTCACGGAGGTGTCACTTTCAGGGGGAGGGGTCGAGTAAGCAATGTTACTTATCCGACCCCCCGTGGCCCACAAACTTCAATTCAGTGGCAGAAGGCACTGTGGACTATGCCAACGGCCGTCGGAGTCCTGCAGCCTGAATGAGATGCAATAGAAGTGGATCTTTGCCAAAACTTGTACCTTTTCCAGAGTATAGCTNCCGCCACCACACATCCCTTCCCCCGCCTGCTGTTTGCCCCACCGGCTGTTTGCCCTGCCCCCGGCCTCGCACCCAGGGCCACCCCGGTCCCACCGGTGGTGGGTATGGCCTCGGGGGTGTCTGAAGTGGGGCACAAAACCCCATTTTTGGGGGTAGGCCCACGGGGTGCGCACTTTCGCTCTGCACCCCCCACTATTTTTCTTTGTTTTTTTTGTTTTGTTTTGTTTTTTTTTTAGGGGGGGAGGGGGGTGGAGCTCCGGAGCTGGGGCCAGGGTTGCCCACCCCTGGACCCCCGCCGGGGGCCTGGTGCCGGGGCTCGATAACTCTGCTTTGCTGGTCCTTGTCTCTATTTGCATCCCTGGGCTTATTCCGAGGATGGATCACTGCTCCTGTCTATTGGTGGGGCGCTACACGTGCTGGAAACCGGGTTCAGTGTCCGTTGTATGTGTGTTTCAACAGTTTTGAATTTTTTATTTTTATTTTTTTTTAATTTTTTCTGCATGCATATGTATGCAACTCCAGCCTTAGGAAGCTCTTGTGGAGTCCGATCGGTGCGCTATGGAACACTGGCACCACAGCAACAGGACTTCTGTGCAGGTGTCTCACTGGTGTAGTTCTACGGGTGTAGTTCTACTGGTGTACCTGTGTCCTAGCAATGGACTGGATGTAGTCAATGAACACGTGATTTGGAGAAATGTGCCTTATTTATCTGTCTTTGTGTTTCTCAGGCTTCTCTATTTTTAAATTGGATCATCGAGTGAAGTGTAGAGGATGATGTTCAAGTTAAATTCAAATACTAATGAAAAATAAGATATATATGTATTTTTTTATGAACTTTCTTTTTCTGATTTGTTTGGATGATGTGGGTTTGGCTGGAATTGGTGTTGAGCGGGGGAGCTTGGGGCTTGAATTAAAGATTGAGGTGCTTGAAGAGCAGGTGCGTTCATTACTGGAGGCCAACAAACAGGCAGAATTTGAAGCCCTCCAGCGGGAAGAAAGTGAAGCATCTTTGCGGGCACAGGTATGTAAGCGTCTTTGCATGCTAGCTGGTGTTTTTGATCGCGTATTGAATTCTGACTCGGGGCACACACAATGAGAGAGTGAAAGACTCTGAATTTGATGCTCCCAAAATTTGGGGAATGCGCTGATGTTTAGTGGTTCCAATTATGTCTCAAGTCCTCAACGCTGAAGCTCGTTTCCGTCCTCAGCAACGATGTTGGTTGGTCCTCATGGCAAGTTTGATGCTGCTCGTCTGTTTCGGAGAGATATGTCATGAATTGAGAATTGGGTTGTGGAACTTGTGGGTAGTATATATAGAGCAAATGTTAGAGTTAGGAGGGGACATGAAGTGTTAATAATAGAGTGAGTTGACGACAATAGATGTAAAACCGACGGGCCTAGCTCGGTTGGTACAGCGATGAACTGTTGAATTAGAGACCTGGGTTTGAATCCAGATGGTCTACCTGTGAAAGGGCCTTTTTCACCCAATGTAGGCCTCAGGCCTTGTAACTAAGCAACGTGGGCCATGTAAAAGTAAAGCAGCCTGAAAAGGTATCTCGCCAGGGCTCAGAAACGTGAAAAGCAGGTCAAGAGTCCAAGTTCTCTACCAACGGGCACATCCTGAAGCAAAGGGCATTGTCAAAAGACTTACCTGTTCGCCAGCAGTTGTGTAGGTCATGAATAAGCTGATGTCTGTTCGGACAGTAAGTGTGTCTGTTCGTCTAGATGTGACTATTCAAAAGGAAGTCAACAGTTATGTCTCAGTTTTTGGTCTGAGTCATGGGGGCAGTCCAGATCCAGACTTCAAAATTCGTATCCAGGCCAAAGGGCCTCCACAGCAGTTGCTTTTCATTAGGAATGCTCTGGGACACATGCAATGCAGGGTCTGGGACAAGAGGACAGGCCGAATTGAGACAATGCAGACCCAACGGGGAGAGGCCAGCACTACTTAAGGAGCTGCCAGCCTCATTCCACGCAGATCTCTACTGGCATTCAATGCGTGGAAGTGCTGGTGCACTTGTGCGCTAGTCAGGCAGAAGCAGCGCTGGAAAAAGGAGATGCGCTGAGGGAAGAAGAAGACTGGGCGCTGGAGGGAAGCAGCCATCGCTGCCCAGCAGATTAGTGTAGACTTAGCAGGGTTAGTATAGATAGCTATGAGTGACATTCAGAGTAGATCCTCGTGAGAGAAGAGTGTGTATGCATCGTGAGAGGAAGGGACTGAGACAGAGAGAGTGTTCTTTCAAGGTCTGGTTATGGAGGACACTTACCTGAGCWAGAAGCAAGTGACGAAGGTGGCATTGATGTATCTGATGTGGGATTAGTATTGCGCTGAAGCGCGTTGGCTCAGGGAACTGTGAACTCATTGTAATCATAATTTTTGATAATATAAGTGACGGGTCTTGGTCCTATTCTTATCTACCTTTGTCTCGTGTGTGGCAACTGTGTCCATTGAGTGTGAAGACGATGTTTGATGTATGCACATCTGCGTGAGTTGGTCCCCAGGACCCATGCACCTGCAGGGGGATGTAATCTATTTGGAGATAGTTTGGTAGGAATCAGCTTATACATTGGGTGAAAGGACAGACAAGGTCCATGCTGTTGCAGGGGCTTTGAGATAGAGATCTGGGTTCAAATCGAGACGGTCTATACACAGGGGGTGTATTATGTTAGGAGATAGTTGTATACATTGGGTGCAAAGAAAGACAAGGTCCATGCTATTGCAGAGGCCTACATTGTGCAGGGTCCGTTGGGTGCTCGAGTGACCCCACACTTTCACCTCTGGAGACAAAATGGCAGGGACAAAATTAACTTTGCCCAACACAGGATTGCCTTCACCATGGCCTGGCAAGTTACAATAGTAGAAATGCAAAAACGAGAGATACGTAAACGTCCCATGTTGTACGGAGCACAAACTGACGAGTTCGTTTTAGTGCCATGACCTAGCAGCGGACTAGTATAGCAGTAGTATGTAGTCCACTCGAAAAATCCCTTTGTTCCTCCTCCTCACAGCTGTGGTTATCTACATCAAAAGTCAAACGCTCATATTGTCAATCGTTGTTAATGAACGGCTCATGTATGACCATCGTTCACCTTCCTGCTGCTCTAATAGTCAACATCCAGGCCTCTCCTCATACGGCCAGCACTCCACGCATGCAGACATTGTTGCAGTGGAAAGTCCCCTGGCTTAACTGGCAAGTTCGCAAAATGTCAGTGTCATCATGGGAACGGTATCTTGAGGTAAAGGAGACTGAGAAGAGGGAGCAAGACCGAACAACTGAGGAACCTCTCTCTCTCTCTCTCTCTCTCTCTCTCTCTCTCTCTCTCTCTGT